CCGGGGGTGGCGGCGGCCTCGGCGGGCCGGGGGCGGCGGGGGCGGCGGGGAGGCCGCCGCTGGGCCCGGAGGCGGCGCCGCTGCTGTCGCACGGCGCGGCGGTGGCGGCCCAGGCGCTGGTCCTGCTGCTCATCTTCCTGCTGTCTAGCCTGGGCAACTGCGCGGTGATGGGGGTGATCGCGAAGCACCGGCAGCTCCGCACCGTCACCAACGCCTTCATCCTGTCGCTGTCGCTGTCGGACCTGCTCACGGCGCTGCTCTGCCTGCCCGCCGCCTTCCTGGACCTCTTCACGCCGCCCGGGGGCTCCGCGCCCGCCGCCGCCGCGGGGCCCTGGCGCGGCTTCTGCGCCGCCAGCCGCTTCTTCAGCTCGTGCTTCGGCATCGTGTCCACGCTCAGCGTCGCCCTCATCTCGCTGGATCGCTACTGCGCCATCGTGCGGCCGCCCCGGGAGAAGATCGGCCGCCGCCGCGCGCTGCAGCTGCTGGCGGGCGCCTGGCTGGCGGCCCTGGGCTTCTCCCTGCCCTGGGAGCTGCTCGGGGCGCCCCGGGAGCTCCCCGCAGCGCAGAGCTTCCACGGCTGCCTCTACCGCACCTCCCCGGACCCCGCGCAGCTGGGCGCGGCCTACAGCGTGGGGCTGGTGGTGGCCTGCTACCTGCTCCCCTTTCTGCTCATGTGCTTCTGCCACTACCACATCTGCAAGACCGTGCGCCTGTCGGACGTGCGCGTGAGGCCCGTGACCACCTACGCGCGCGTGCTGCGCTTCTTCAGCGAGGTGCGCACGGCCACCACCGTGCTCATCATGATCGTCTTCGTCATCTGCTGCTGGGGACCCCACTGCTTCCTGGTGCTGCTGGCCGCGGCCCGCCAGGCCCAGGCCGCGCAGGTCCCCTCGCTCCTCGACGTGGGGGCCGTCTGGCTGACCTGGGCCAATGGGGCCATCAACCCTGTCATCTACGCCATCCGCAACCCCAACATTTCGATGCTACTAGGGCGCAACCGCGAAGAGGGCTACCGGACTAGGAATGTGGACGCGTTCCTGCCCAAACAGGGCCCTGCTCTGCAAACCAGAAGCCGCAGTCGCCTTCGAAACCGCTATGCCAACCGGCTGGGGCCCTGCAGCAGGATGTCCTCCTCCAACCCGGCCACCAGGGCCGGAGGAGATGTGGCCATGTGGGCCCGCAAGAATCCAGTTGTACTTTTCTGCCGCGAAGGGCCGCCCCAGCTTTTGACAGCTGCGGCCAAGCAACCTAAATCCGAAGCCGGGGATACCAGCCTCTAAGGCAGGTTGGGATGGGCAGCTTGTGAAGGCGAGTTTCCCCCTGCCTCGTTTAATAATACAGGATTCGGAGGAAAATCGTGAGATTTCATAAGGCCAAACGTTTAAAACTAAAGAGATGGGGAAGGTTACCACTTCCCCAGACAACATAAAAGACAATGTTCCCTTCTTCAAAAGTGCCAAAAGGAATGTAAAATGCAAACAGTTAAAACAATCTTAAACCACACAACCAAGCATTGTGAACTGTAAGTGCCAAAAATGACAAACATAAAATTCACAATTACTGAAAAGCTCATACTACAAGATCACACTGTGAAACAAACACACAAAACACTGAATGCAACCAGTGTTTGTTCAGCTACACAGAGTTTCAGGAAGGAGATGCTCGGAGCTGCTTGAAAGTCCCTCGAAATCACCAGCATTCAACAAAAGTTCAGATTCTAGAACTTGCACCTCTGACACGCTTTGGGTGCTTAGGTTGGCCATGGAAAATTTTTATCCTTACATTTGGTGCACTTCCCTACCCTACCCTCATAAGCTTTGTGGGAAATTTTAAATCCATATCCCCTTTTAAAACCATTTTAGGATTTTGGAAAGGTGGTTTATTAGATAAAATCCAACCATCTGAAGGGCCAATAGAAGTATAAACATTGAAAAATGCCTGTTTTTAAAAGTATTCCAAGATTATACATAAAAATCAATGTTCCTTCCACCCATTATACCCTCAGAATGATCTGCCTTGGAAAACGTTGAGGCTTTAACCTTACCCTAATTTGCTCCTTTTATTTCTGACAATTTTGGGGGATGCTGCTCTCAGAATGCTTTCACATTAAAAAACAAAACTTAACTTAGAAAATCTTTGTCTTTTGAGGTACATTTGGTTTTCGGATACAGCCAAAAATGTAATTTGAAGTCAAGTTGATTGAATAAGGTGAGTGATGTCACTTTTAAAATTATTATTGTTTTTTAAATGAGAGCTCTATAAAGTAACAAGATTGGCTTTCCGATATGGCTCTTAACTAACTGAATATGATTCCAAAGAGAAATTCTGAAAACATTTTGAGAAGTTGTCACATTCTTGGAATAAGCATAGACCTTTTCAAGAAGATCGTACTCTTTTACATTTGCAACTTATTTTTTAATACCGATTGTTACTTTGTAGACATGACCTGTCTAAAATAATGTAGTCTTTATCAGAAAGAAAGAATAGATGCGGAATTATTATATGTAATATGATATTAAAAACATAGGCATAAAGTTGGAGAATTACTTAAAGCTAACTGAAATAGCTTTTTAAAAATTTCTATCTCAACAGGAAAGATGCTTTTTACATTATTCCAAAATCACAATTCAAGATTTTGAGTATGACATTTTTTACATTAAATGTGACTGTACACAGAATCATTTACGCAGAAATTGTTAAAATGTTAATTTTTCTCCCTCTCCTCTATCCTGCCCCTCTTTTATTCAGTATCTCACAACCTTAATTGAATAAGTTCTTTACATAAGGTATGAAAAAACATCAGTGTTTTATGAAGATTTCAATGTGAAATAGCCAGCATTTTCTTCTTGTAAAGTATTTTAAAATGTTTATTACTATTTAATTATCTGTTTGGTAAGTGGGTGCGTGCCATTATTTTGTAATCAAAGATGGAAATACATGGTTTGTGCCAGAGCTAAGGATGTTTTCATTTTTTTCTGCTTCTTGGGATATTATCACAATCAGAAGTTTATAACTTGTCTGTACATAGTTTGCTACACTCAATGTAGTACAATGTAGATGAAATAATCTCTCCTCTCTAGTGCTTACAATTATGAAACATATGTAGACTTAATGCAGCTGGACTAACAGTTAACAGACATCTGCAGTCAAAGACAAAAAAAAGTTGTACATTTTTTGACACTGTGAGAAAAAAGAAGTCACTTCTGGGATTTAGGGAGAAATGACAAAGTCTTCCAATTATGAAAGGCATCAAATAATGGGAATTGGACAATTGCGAATAAAGGGTAGAAAGAGAAGGAAAGGAAGGAGGTGAGCATGTTGCAAAATAAGATATTGCCTGAGAAGAACTGAAGGACTTTCTAAAATAAATAAGACATGGAATCAAGCTGCCAGGTAAGTGAAGAGAAAATTTGAGAGACTGGAAGTGAGAAGATGATGGCATGAAGGACTTTAAGGGAGAAAAGGAATTCCTGCCCTACCTTTTCAGTGACCGGAAGTTTTTAAAGACAGGAATGGTTTGTGAAAGAAACCATTCTGTTAGTGGCTCTCAGAGTCATGGTTGGCAAGAATTGGAGGAAAAAGATAAAGTTGCTTGTAAGTTACTAAACAATTCACAATGTTGTGCTTATTTGTTATTTAGTCCAAGGCTATCCAACTATTCAATGGTAGAACTAGGAGTTGAACTGCAGTCTGTTTGGCCTCAGAGCCTGATGTTCCCTTCCCTACCTTCTGCTGCCCCCACAAAGGTCTGTGAGTAAGGGAAACCAAGGATGGGAAGTTGTGGTGCCGCTGCCACCATCACAATCATTCATCATCATCATCATCTTCTGCCATTTTTCTTTCCTAAGGGCAACTTTCTAGGTGGTGAGACCGCTAAGAGGTAGAAATCACATTACCTGTCTACAGAGGTCTTACAGCAAGGACCTTGTGCTTTATAAGAATCAGCTACAACCAGGACAATGATTTACTTGAGAAGAAGAAAAGATGTGACATTTTTCAGAAAGGCTATCAAAGAAAGGAGAAGAATGATGAATTTGGAAACAAAAAACATGCAGACACATGTTGGCAACCAATCTGATCCAGTGTAAATACTTAGAGACAAAAATCATTGCTTTGAATAAAAGATGGAGAAAGAATGACTCTAAAATCTAAGACTTAGACCTTTTCTCATGCTTACCATGAGTGCACAATTACAGTGACTTTGTAGGAAAAGGGGAAAGAGAAGCTATTGAGTATTGAGATATATTAAATATTGTAAACTATGTAAAGACCAGAATGTGATCCTTTGTGCCTCATTCTGCTCCCAATTTGAGTATTTCATTTGGTCTGCAATAATAACAGCAACAAGTATTACTCAGTATGTCATGCACATTAGCTTATTTAATCCTCAGAGAAAATCTATGACGGGGTAACTAGTATTATCATTTTCACATTTTACAGATGAGAAAACTGAGGCACATAGGTGTTACGTGATTTGCCCAAAGTCATACAGCTAGTAAGTGCTAGATGTTAAGATTTGTGCCTGGCAGATTGGTGCTAGAAGTCCTCTCTTAACTATACTGCACTGCCTCTCTCATTTGTAAAAGACAATGAGAAACTTGGAAAAGAACCAGGGAAGGTAAAAACAACTATTAAAAACATGAAAAAATAAACACCTTGAAATTTAAAAGTTGGAGAACAGCAAGATTAGATGTGTTAGATATTTTTTAAATATATGAAGAAGTTCTGAGAAGTTCTTTTCTGGAATAATCCCAACCTTTCATGACCCCAGTCATCTATCTTCTCCTTTCCTACTCCTGGGTATCTGAGCACAGTTGGAGAAAAACTGTGGAGTTGGGTCAATTGGTACCCTCTGCACCTAGAATCCACACAGCCTTGCCTGGCCCTTCCACCCTGCCTGGCAATCTGAACCTTTTTGCTTGTCAACTTACTCTTTCTACCCACTTTTCTAACCCTTCAAACTTTCTCTACTCAAACGTTTAACCGACCCTATCCTGTTGGAAGACTTTTGACCCTTCTTCTCCAAGAAACTAGAAGCCATCAGACATATATTTCTTCATATTTTAGCCACCAAACTTAACAAATTTAAATGGATTTGTACAGTTCTCAGCTCTTTCCAATTACAGTAAAGAAGCAAAGCCCCTCTCCAGCCTCAAGAATCTTATGCTATTAAGTACCTCTGTTCCCTAGTATTCTCAACCTTTTCACTAAACCAGATCTCTCCCATGAGCCTTAAGAATGTTCTAATCACTCCAGAGAGAGAAAACAAAAAAGAAACCTCTGCCATTCCTCCCCTCCCCTCTCTTCTCCTCAACTCCTTCCTTTTAGCCAAACTCATCAAAATAATTGCCTATACTTTTTACACTGATCTAGATCCTGGTCCACAGTTTTAGTGGTATAAGAAAGAAAGTCATTATTTTTCTACAACTCAATTTTTTCCAAGTCTCCTGTTCTGCCAGATGGCAGAACTTAAGATGGCAGTATCTGGGTTCCAGGTGCTTATTTAGTGCCAAGGCATTAGTGACTATAAATTTTCAGTTGTCATCCATCCACACTGGCATGTGCCAAGGCATCCATCAGTCTGTGTCTTGCCTTATATCCATAGTCTGCTGCATAACTATCCCCCACTTTAGTCCAAGAGGACCCAGCTCCAAGGACCACTTTAGAGCTCCTCTCCAAACACAGAAAAAGCACTATAGAGGGCTAAGGACACACCTATTAGGCTGTCTCAGGCTGCTTTATAAAAATTACTTTAAAATATTTTTTGTTTTTGAGCTAAGTGTAGTGGCTGATACCTGTAATCCCAGCACTTTGAGAGGCCGAAATGAGAGGATTGCTTGACCCCAGGAGTTGGAGACCAGCCTGGGCAACATAGCAAGACCTTACCTCTACAAAAAATTAAAAATTAAAAAATTACCCAGGCATGGCAGTGCATGCCTGTAGTCCGAGCTGCTTAGAAGGCTGAGGCAGAAGGATCACCTGAGTCCAAGAGGTCAAGGTCACAGTGAGCCATGATAGTGCCACTGCAGCCTGGACAAGAGAGTGAGACTCTGACTCAAAACAAATGTTTTTAAAATTTTCATATTGTTGAGTCAATAAAATAATATATAAAACATAATTGCAAGTTTCACTTCTGGAATAGCAATGAAGAGCTCTGTGGACCCAATCCCCAGAGAAATAAGTGTGATTCATAAACATTATTTTAAAAACAACCATTTGAAATATCTTGAAATTGTCCTAAGGGCACACAGAAAATGAAAGAACACTAATTCAAGAAAATCTACCAAAACTCAGTAAGAACAAGGAGTCTGTAGCATTTGAAATACAACCTACACCCTCTCTCCCCTTCCCAGTTCTGCAGGACAGAGACGCCATTTCAGATGGTTATATTCAAAAGCACAGGAATCCGTCTTCCCCAAGAGCCCAGGACTACGGTATTTTCCTGGAAGGGGTGGGTCACAAGAACTTCTCATCTCTCCAGCTACATGTTGCAGAGACTAAAT